GTTCTGGTTAGGGCTGGCAGAGTGCAACAGATGCCATCCTCCTTAGCCCAGCTTCCCTTTCAGGCCGTATGAAGGGGGACCTCCTCACAGCACACCTTCTCCCTCCACCCCCCCAATTCTATAAGCCCCCCCCCCCCCGAGGGCTGGCATCGTGGGAGCTGGAGCAACCGTAGCGAATTCCCAGTGCCTTCTGGGCGCCAAGGGCCCCCTCCGACCTGCCCCTCCCGTTGCTTCGTGCAACAGCGCCTCTCAGTGGGGTGGCTGAGGGTCTTCCTTTCACCCTGCCCAGGGGGGCTCACAAGGGCCCCTCGCCCAAGACGAAGCCGCCCCTTGGCGATGCTCCGGTGCGTCCTGAGCTACCTCATGTGTGCCACGTGGTCTCCGTCTCGGTCCACCGCTGGACCGTTTCCATCCTTGGCGCAGCTCCAGACGGCCCTCGTCCTCCAGCCCAGCCTGGCGCAGAATTCCTTCCCGTTCTGTCCTTCCCCCCATTTTCTGAGGAACTTCACACATTCCGGGCGCCCCCATCGCGGGAGGAAGCAAAGCTCCGAGGCAACTCCGCTCCTCTCGACCCGAGGCGGCCCTGCAGGCGGCTGCCCGTTGGCGCCGGGGGGAGCCTGGACTTTGGCATCTGCACCAAAGCTGGACAGTGTTGGGAAGCCTCCGAGGCCACAGAAGCCCCGGCTGATGCGGGCAGACTTCCAAGGCGGAGCGACGCCCGGCTGGCGCTGGGGAGGAGAGGTGGCCAGACCCAGGAGAGCCCAGGGAGACCCCGAGGGCAGGCGCCTTATAACCCCCCACAGCCCTCCTGGCGGCTGGCCATTCTTCTCCATGGCTCCCGCAGAGAAGCCCCCGTGGGCGGCTTTATTAGATGGCGGCCGATTCCTTCCTGAGCGCTACGGAGCGAATTGGGGCTGCTTTGAGGAACGTGAAGAAGAGGCTCCACCTGCAGAGACGACGGGGCCTTCCCTGCTGCTCCCCAAACTCCCTGCGCCAGACACGCCCTTTGTGTCTTACGAGGACATTTGGCACGAGAGACGGACTTTTATCTGGACTGAAATCGCATCCTCAGACGTCTGGGGAGAAGACGGTTCCCGCTAGACATCCTCGCCCACTTTGGCCTTTAATGCTTTTAAGTTTGCCTTTAATTCCCACCACTTCCTCCCTTCGGAATAACCCCTTCTCTCCCCCCCCCCTTTCCCTGACCCCAACCCGGCTCTTTTCTTCAGGCTGCAGCTCTGCGCAAGCTTTAAAAATAAGTTTTTGCCCCTGGTGAGCCTTTATTCAGAAGAACTAACTCCTCTGGTGAGGTTATATAGTTTGGATTTATATTTATGTTTAAAAATAATAGCCCATGTACACCGAGATATGTAACCCTATTTACCCCCTTTCTATTTCCGACCCTTGGTAAGAAGCGAAGAGGAAGCCTCTCTCACCCACACCCAGAGCCCCCCGTGAGCGAAGGCTCTGCCCCTGAAGGGAAGGTTTTTCAGGCTTTTGAGCCATGGAGCAATTGGGGTTCCTCAGAGGACAAACTGGTAGCTCAATTCCACCAACTGTGCCTTTCCTCATTTTCTATTTTATATACCTTTTCCACTCAACTATACATAGAAATAAAACCTTGCAACT